TATTTCAAATTGAGGAGTTAACCTGGAATAGGCAGATCGCCCCCACATTAACGTGCAGGTGATACATCGCCTTTAATTTTTGAAATTTGTTGCTGATCATAGATCATCACCAAAATTATAAAAGCACGTGACTTTTTTTTTAAAAAGTAACGCGAAAATTTTTAAAATATGCCGCGTATTACCAAATTGTGAATCACGTCTTGTCAGGCACATAATTTTTACTTCGTTCTCACTATTAACACCACAATCGCATTTTTACACATATTTCACTAATAAAATATAATGTCCTTAGAAAATATCAATACCCAAGAAACATATGTTGGTCATGTTGAACTTGTTTCATATTTGGAACGACAAAAAAATAAATCGTTTTGGGGGTTTCTCCTTCGCTTTCGAGAAATAGTCGTTACTTCGTCGTTGAGGTTGTCTTCAGAAACTTGGCAAGATCTAGATAATGCCTGGGTTCGTCAATTTTTATATGAGGCAAAGAGTATAGAAAAAAGTAATTTCGCTACACTGGAGGACAAGGTACGTTATTTTATTTTGTAAAGTAAGGGTAACTTCTGATCGACCTGAGGTTCTCCTAGCTTGACTCGGAAGAATTACTGAATATGACAACTTGGTACCCACTCCAAGTCCTCTATTCAGGCACCCTATCTATGTCGTTGGTAAAGATCTACTGATTTCGGAAAAAGAATTGGTTATGTACCTTCCTTTATCACTAAATAAAAACTGCACAACATTGATGTCTTTGTCTATAACAGATCAATGCGGAACGTTCCCGATTGGAGAAAAACTTGGAAGAATACTGGAAAGGAGTAATTCGGGATTGCAAGACGGTGCGTAAATTTATTATTATTATTATTATTATTTTGATACACCTTCTGTGACAGAATCTGATCAAATTGTGGAATTTTTTATCTTTATAGAAGCGTGACCTCTCTGAATATAAGATTCAAAGAGAACGCCTTCTTTCCGCTCTTCTTGAAGTAGACGAAAAAATAAGAATGGCGGAAGCTGATCTTGATGGATCTTCTAGAAATTTCCGTGAAGATGATATATCAGATAATAGATCCGATTTGCAGATGGATTTAAGTGGGGATTTGCGTGGAGTTTTCGATGAAAATTTTAGTGGAAATTTGGATGGGGGTCCTATATATGAAGATGATAGCGCTCCCACTAATGCCATTACGGATGGTTCAGGATCTCAGAATCCTCAGATAGGAAAAGAAAGACCGGAAGAAGAATTGCACCGCCCTTAATTCGAGAAAAAAATCTTCGGCATCAGGAACGAATAAATTACAATGTGGGGTCCCCATCAAGAAAGCGCCGAAAAAATAAGCCTGTAAGTATAACCTGTATGCTCTTAAGGTAGAATGGTCAAAGTTGCGTGATATAAATAACTTTTTGCATATAGGTTTCGCAACCGACATCATCAACATCAACATCACCATCCCTTTCACCATTACCTTCTCAACAAGAACAATCATTATCTCTGCCACCATTATCACCAATATTCCCAATATCATTAGCTCATTCACCGATACCTCCATATAGAGATAGAATTTGTAGTCGTGAATGCCTGTTACACTGCTTCCCTTAGAAGTAATATTTTAATTTATAATTTAATTTTTTTTTTTTTTTTTTTTTTTTTTTTAAAAAATTAATCATTTATTTTTATAATTAGATGTTCCAACAAATTCAAGAAGGGGAATAATTCTGAAAGAAGCAAGAGAAAAGGAAAGGGAGGAGGAAGAAATCGAGTTACTAAATTTACCGATGACCAAAGTTTTCGAATAAATTTTTAAAAAAATTTTTCTCGAGATTTTTTTAATAAATTATAAACAACATCTGGTGGTTGTTATAAGGTATGCATTTAATTAGCAATATAGTTTGAGTTATATGTATGCATCAACAAATTTATAAATTTGACGTTAATGTTTGAAAATAAAATCTAAAAAAAAGTTTTTTGTTTTCATTACATTCTCAATATAGATGAATTTTAAGCGGTTATTCGCAAATGATTTGTGATTTACTTTAGATTTATTCAGAAAGTTTGAACAGTTGGAGATCAAAATCCGGTAATTTTCGATCAGATCCTTTAAACATCAACTATTTGGTTACCAATCATCGAAATTCTACTTTTGATCAAAACAAATAGCATACAATTTTTTTGCAAGTTTTAAGAATGTTCTAGTGTGAACATATTTTTTGTCATCTTATTGATAATTCCTAAACCATACAAGGAATTTCTGGCGAATTAATTTAAAAAAAGCAATTTAATAATAATAAAAGGTATTTCTTGTTACACAACAATTAAATGAATCGTGTAACTAATATTTATTTAAAATTAAAAGCATTAGGTTATTATAAATACATAGTCATAATGAATGAACCACCGTTTCGACATCATAAACTATTTTTTTTCTTAATAAATTATTTTAACGTTTTTACAAACTCAATTTTCTTTTTCAAAGCATGATATTTGCAGAATCAAGTATGCAAAGAGTTGAAACGTCACTGACCTTCTCAGTATCGAACGAGGGGTTAATGACGTTCTTCCATCTCAATGAAAAATTATCTTAATTTATCTTTGTCTTTTCAATCTTTCATCGTATTTTTTTTTTTTTATGTGTTGGAGGAAGAGAAGGCACGTGACCAAAAAAATTAATCATATTCACAATTCGGGCTTTTATTTTGCATGTAATATATAGTACTAAAAAGCATAGCCGATTTGTAATATCATTGCAAATAAATTTTGTTTTTTTTATTAAATGGAATACGAAATACAACGAGTACGATTAAATAATAATTTCCCATAAACTATTATCTATTTCATAAATTATAATTTAGCAACAATTACCAAATAAACAAGTTGATCGCATCACGTGCTTTAAGTCAAAAATCATTCAATTTCGTTTTGTTATTGATAATATTATGTGAAAATTATTAGTAAAAATTTTTTTAATTGACACGATGATCACAAGATTAATATATATGCAAAAATACAAAACAATTACAAGAATTTTTAATATAAATCAACACAAATATACTATTACTCAAAGTTTATAAGATAATTATAAATCGTGTAAAATTAAAGTAATTAGACTTAAATAGTATTCTTCTTCTTCTTCTTCTAAAGATATCGCCTTGTCAAGTTTTTTTCTCTTTACGTAGTATTAGTCGTCTATCTATTGCGTATTCTTTTTACCTAGTCGATTAAATTTACTAACATTTAGTTCATAATGAAATATTATCCTCCTATTATTTGCTAAATTTTATTCATGAATTATACCTTGTTTCGCCAAAGTTGTTTGGCAAGAATATAATTCCTTTAACTTTTTTTTTAAAAAAAAAATCCCAAAAGCTCATCATTACTAAATGTGGGTAAACAAAAATTCGTGTTCAAAAATTTCATGTAACCTTTAAATTTAAAATTTGTTCATTCTTTCTGAAAACAGCAATAATCATATGAATTTTGTGAAAAGCAATTGTTCAGATATTAAATTATTAAGTCAGCTTCTTCCGAAATTAATGATGAATGGTCAAACACATCATAATAAATTATTGCATTCAATCCATATTTTTAAAATTTGAAAATGTCTAACGATTTGTTAAAATTAATTTCTAAGGAATATAATGATTTACTTGAAACTGGAGAATTTTCAGATGTTGAAATATTGGTCAGAGAGGAATCAAATCCCAAAATGTTAAACCTACATTCTTGCATCTTAAAACTTCATTCAAAATATTTTCATACCTTATTAACTGGTAATCGTATTAAAACTAAGAATAACATTATTAAACTTCAATGCCCTAGTATTTTCGTTAAAATTTATGAAATACTCATCAAGTAAGAAACTTCAACATACTTTATTTAACATTCTATGAACTAACGACTTCAATTTTATAAACAGATACATATACTGCAGTTTAATTGATCTTGCATTTAAAGATACTAGAACAAATATTACGATCTTAATCAGTGCTTATGAATTAGGTTTAACCGAATTATGCGATTACGTCAAAGATCATCTACTACAAGATAAAATATCATTGATACAAAATTTTGTCTCATTCAAAATGTTGTATTTTAACACAATCATTTTAAAAAATTAACACAATTTTACGAAAACACTTTTCAACAAGATCCTTCATTGATTTTTAAAGCAGATGATTTTACAACCATTAAACATGACATTCTACTTGACCTACTTATTAAGGATACATATCCTTTAGAAACTATTGAAGTTTAGGACAAACTCATTGAATGGAGTGTTGCTCAATCCAATGGATTACTACCATCTGACGCTACTACCTGGTCCGCCGATAATATTTCCACATTTGGGGATTTAATACAACCTTTTATTTCTCACATCAACTTTAAAGCTATAAATCCGTCAGACTTTCATCAGAAGATTAAACCATTTAAGAAAATTTTTGATAAAGATCATTATATTGAAATTCTCAAATATTATTCTTTTAAATCTTTTAAAACCTATTCTCACTCTCAACAATCTAAACGAGGTTTTGTACTAACTGAGCTAATAAAGCTTAGTCAACTTTACAAGAAGATCAAAAGTACTGACTTTTCTATGTATAATTACGACTTACTTGTTCTGGAGTTAGAGATAGATAGATAAATTTGTTGAATATATGTGCTATGGAGAGCTAAACTAAAATAGGATACTAACTATAGGAAATAGGTATCGAGGACTTATAGAATAAAGTGACTATTGTATTTTTGTAAACTCTTATAATAGATTGATAAAAATCTTATATTTATAGTTATCGTTAAATAAATCAAACACTTTTGTAAATTAAATAATTTTTCAAAATGTTTTTCCATCAAAGTCTTAATTTCTCATAATAAATATTTTCATATTTGGTAGTAAAATCAACTACTTTAACTTCAAATGATATTAATTTCTGGAATTTTAAATTTATTGGTCATCTGATTGTACAGTTTCGTCTAAGGTTACTGGGTAATACGCAGAGGTTTCGACAGGCATCAAAATTGAAACTCATTAATGAAACTGGTCCTTGAGGTCCTCAGTCCATAGATTAGAAATTATTTACATTATATACCATTACTAAGAAATTAATGAATAATATTATTAGACTATTTTATAAAAATTAAGATGGTAAATAAAAAAACCGCCTCACCCTAAAAAGATCACAGCAAGGAATTTAGCTAAAAAAAAATTATGCCTAACAGGCTTTGAGTGTTTCACATGAAATTTAACAACCTGTGGATATAAAAATCTCTTCCGTTAATGCTTACGTATCAGCAAGCATCTCAATAATAATTTGATGCTTCAGATGAACAGCTTCTAATCTATTACGAATAACAGTATAGTGCTAAACATAAGAAGATAAGGCAATTTGTCTATGACAAAAGATAGAATAATGATTTGCATAAAACGAATTTTGTATCGCAGTAAACAAGTTTATTTTGCTTCTGAGAAAAATAATTAACGCTGAATATTCTTAAAATCATTTTTTAAAGATTAGCAGCTTCAGCAAAATAAAGATTCAAAGCATATAAGCTGCCAGACCAAAGAATTTCTCAAAAAAAGTTACAGAATTCACGAATTGATTCCTATTTATAAAAAAATCTTAATAATGATCAAGAGAAATTTCTGATGATATAATTTAGTAACTACTTTATTATGAGCTTATATTGAAATAATGAAGAACGAATTCTTCTTACCTTATATTAATTAAATATGCCTTCAGCTTTCAAATAAAATAATTTTCTTTAGATTTGGCACAGTAATCAAGGCATAATGATAAAGTAGTGATAGGTTACAAACTGCATATATAATTATTTATTAAAAAAAAAAATTCTAAATTATATACTAGATTTGACAAGACATTTTAAAATTAAATCACTTGGAGATTATAACAAATTACCAAATTAATCAACACAAATATTAGCTAAATCAAACTAACCAAATAAAAATTTTATCAGCAAAGCATGTTCTGCAGCTTAACTGCTAGTAGGTATTTAATTAATTTATGTTTAGGGTTGTAAGTATATTAAAAAGAGTATGCTTATTTTAAAATATGTGACGAATTTTTTTCACGTGACATAATTATTTTTATTCTTCTTTGAAAAGTCAAATAATAGTACTGTTTGAAACTAGTGAAAGTAACCTACTATGTGAGAATATGAATAAACATTACCAGTGATAGGGCTGAAATTGTTAAAAATCAAGCTAAAAAATCAAATAAACTCAAATAAATAATTATCTAGAAGGCTCTACTTAAGAGAAATTACGATATACAAACATTTATTATGATTCACTTGTGTTTATCAAAACTTTATATTAAGATAAGAAGAAGGTTGAAAGTGTAAATTAGTAAATAGTAGATTTATAAGTCTAATCCAAAGTTGAATCAAGGTCATAAATTCTTAAATAAACAAAACTACGTCTTTCTATAATATTAAATAATACAAAAAAAAATAATATAAACTAAATTAACAATGAAGAATAATGAAAAGAGATAAAATATATTAAGCGGTATATGATCTGTATTACTTTTATATTATATGAGATGCAATATAATTTGTTACTAACATCAGTTGCCTACCCGTTGAACTTTATCTAAGAATTTTAACATTATGATATTATTTGACATACTGAATTATGCTTAAATCCAAGTTGAAATACTTAATACTTTTTTAACACTACAAAGTACTATTTTAAAAAAAAAGTTCTCAATGAATAGGTATGACATCATTAGTTTTCAAATCAGAGATGTTGTATTTAATAATGTAAATTAAAAACAAAATTTACAGTAAATATTTGCAGTCAAAATTTTCATAAGTTTATTAATGCAAAAAATGTCATGATTTTTTATTTTAATTAAATACCGCTTTGTCTATTTTCCTAAGTGGTACATAATTATGATTAATTAATTATTAATTTTAAATGGGATATTGGGTTGAATAATAATGAATAAAATTTTATACCTTGTAAATATTCTTTCTTTGTTGCAAATAATTAATGTAGACACGCAAAGTGAATATTATTTGTTATTACCTTATGAAATCTTAAACATAGTAATAATATTCTATCTACTTTATAATAAAATTGTAATTATGAAAGCAATTATTGATATGATACGTAATTAATGTTAGGTATTTTCATCAAAATCAATATTTAGAAGAAATAATGCTGCTTTTATCACCTGAATAATTTTTTTCTGTTTTGTAATATGACAAGTAATTATATATTGTAGTTAGATAATATATTATACTCTTTATAATTTTTTCACAGAGAACGTTTCTTTACGTTAAAACTGACAGAAACTGACAGACCTGTCGAATATGACATATATATCAAATATGCTAGATCTACCAAATATGACATATCTGCCAAATAGGATACAAATATCATTTATTATATCTTTATTATATCTATCATTATTATTATTTATATTATATTTAACATAATTAGCATATCTGTTAGCTCTGTTATTATTATCAGTAGTATCATAAATACTATAGATTTTCCTTAATTGTAATTTTCTTATATAAAGGACATGAAAATGCCTTGAAAAAAAGACAGATCCCAACATTGTATTCAATATA